TGATTCCCTTCACTGTTAAGTGTACATTGTTCAAAATGAGGAGTAATTATGCTGCTGGTTTCTGTTGGAGCAGCCTTTGTGTTGAAGGTGCACCTATGATGCCTCAAAATGCTGCCTATGTAGTCCGCTAACTGCGTGTTGGAACGGAGCCATAATGACAGAATTTTAAGGTTGGCTGAGGCGATCACAGATTAATCACTTATTTTTAAGGGGGTTGAGATGAAATGGAGCCTGTAATGGTCTGTGGTGGGCCTCTCTCTCAACTTTACACAAAACTCCTAAAAAGGTCAATGTATTTGACCTTTTTTAAGCAAATGATCAGTGAACTACAATGCTTAACCTGGAGAAAGTGTTGATCGTCAAGCTCAGGTGGTCAAACAAAATATTATATGAGCTTATTTATTTTATGTCTGGTGGGTGTTTGAAATAAAACATATATTAAATAAAATAATATGATCAAAATTAAACATCAAAATTAAATCATATTAAAAATTATTGGTTTGTAGTATTGAATAAACATAATTCATACACATGTCTGTTGCATGCTCAAAATGGCTAAACATGGTCACCTAACATCATTAGCATGATTATTTTGGACTGACTTCCAAGGTTGTGTCTTTCTTGACTCCAAACTATGTTCCAATGTTCCAAACTATTTTTATTCTTTTTCAGTGAACTACGATGCTTAACCTGGAGAAAGTGTTGATCGTCAAGCTCAGGTGGTCAAACAAAATATTATATGAGCTTATTTATTTGATGTCTGGTGGGTGTTTGAAATAAAACATATATTAAATAAAATAATATGATCAAAATTAAACATCAAAATTAAATCATATTAAAAATTATTGGTTTGTAGTTAATGATAAACTTTATTATTATTATGATTATTTATACAAAAGTAAACAACGTCTTGTAATATGAACAACGTATATAATATATGAAATTAAAATTATAATGTAGTATTTTCAGATAGGAAGGAGATAGGAATGCAAACATTGAGATAAAAAAATTAAAATAGAGATTTTTTAAAATTAATTACTTAATTATATAAATATGCAAATAAAAGCAAACATTGAGATTTTTGAAAAATAAAATATTAAATAATGTAAATAAAATATTTAAAAATATTTCAATGAAGTATTTTCATAGATACAGATATAAATTATATTTTTGGGGGGTGATTAAAAAATGATGTTTTTAAGTTATTCTATAAATTCTTTAAACAACATCAAAATGAAAAAAATATATATATTGGTTTGTAGTTAATGTTTTATTATTATTTTTAAATTAAATTAAAGAGAACATATTTGTTTGATCATTTTACTTTCATTTTAATTGCTGCATGGATAAAGTCAAGAAGAACACAGCCTCATTTGGACAGGAAAGTTAATGTTTAGCTTTAAAAACATACCAATGTGCACCCCATTTCTGAAGAGTCTTTTGCAAATTAATTGATTATTTGTTGAATTAAGCATCTTTTCAGGTTATATGTTGCTTATTTTATTTTGCCATCCTGAATGCATGACATATCATAATATCTATTGGTTAACCCGTCAGTAGGCACTCACCAAGTGCACTTACAGTAAAGCCGCATTAGTACGTTGTGAAGCATTCCAAGCCAATCATACCCTGTTTTTTTTATATCTTCTTGTTTTAACATATCTTCCCTCTTCTTTTTCTCATTTTATTTAATATCCCCATTGACTGGTTAGTGGATTTAACGTTGCTTTGGTATTTGGTTCATACGTTCTCACATGAATTCCTCTTAATGGATTTTAATAACTTTCTGTATTTCAGTCCTTGACAAGGTAATATCTTCAGTAATCCCCACTGGTACTTGTGAAGGAACAGACCTTGGGTTTTTGAAAATCTGTCTGGTTGTATGTTGTATTAATTAAAGACCCAGAAGAGAAATTATTCTGATTTTGCTGCTGGAAAACGTTGAATTGCTATTGAATTGCATTTTAATTAAATTTACATTTGTGCATGCAATGCACCACATACAAGGACAATAAATTATATCTGATATACGCACTTTGTGTGTGTGTGTGTGTGTGTGTGTGTGCGTGCAGACTCTCATATGTGAAAGGCATGATAAATGCTATTTTCATTAACACTGAGGTGAATCGAAATACTCATCTGTGATTTCTATAAAAATATACTTAACCTTGGACCACTCTTTTCATAACTTACCTACAAGTGTGTGTGCTGCTTTCATGTCCCTCTGTATGTTTTCATCCGCTCGCATGCTGATGAGTAGAGCTCTGTCATACCTGACTGCCTCTCCCGAATCCTTTAAAGCCTCCCGACAACACATTCATAAACACTTCTGATGGGCTTGAGAGATTTTGTCACAAGACAAGAGGAAAGAGAGCCGTCCAAAACAAAGACAGAAATTTGCTTGACAGTTACAGATTCGTTGAATATGTATCATTCTGGGAAAAGAAGGAGCAGGACACCGTCGATTGATTTCGGTGGTGACGGGGATATTTTTTAACTTCAGATGTCAGACTTTATAAATTGGTAAATCGGTTATGAATAATTTTTTCATATTAATATTGTAATTTCTTTTATATAGCTTGGTTGATGATTTTTAAATATGAATTTTTGAATTTGCCAGAATGTTGTTTTGTACCTACGTGCAGTTTTAGCCCCTAAAAATGATCATTTCTTGCACGAGAGACATCAAGCATCGTTCCAGCTCTAATATGCAAGCCAAATGACTCTCTTTAAATGCAGACCCTTGAAAATAACAAGACACCGCGCTAAACATTGTTCTCTTCAAGCGCCTTTGAATGGGAGATTTCCTGTCCTCGCCATTCTGTCTCAGACCCCGGCCTTTGAAAGCACGTGTGATAAAGTCTGGAGCGAAATGACTACAACACACAGCTTTCAGGGCCAAATGAGTTCCCATAGTATTATTATTATTTTTTTATCTGCGGCCGATTCTTTTGAAGTTTGATTCGGTAGTGCCACAGCCGCGAGATGTCAGAAAGCAGACGTGCGGCATGAACGGATGAAAGTTTACAGAGCGGTCATTCATCTGAAAGAGACTAGCGGGTGGGGGAAAACGGAGAATAAAGAAATCGTTACTTGCTTTCTGAAATTTGTACTTCTTATTGTACGTGCATGTGTGCGCAACCACAAAAATGAAAAGCTAGTATCTTACACGTTTTGATATCGGCCTTTATCATTATAATGTAAATGTGTGCATGAACACATGAATAAGGCATTATTTTAAACCCAAATGGCATTAAAGTGGCTTTTCATCCTTTAGCCGGGGCCCCATTGTGTAGGAGCCTGTGAGCATTGCTCTAATGTAGGGACTATTCTATATCTGGGGATGAAGCTGTCTGTTCAGGTGATTGACACAAGCCCACATTAAGAGGTGGTTTTGAAAATTAGTCCGTGGAGACCCGGCGGAGGTGCGAGGAAGAAGGAGAGTCGTCTCCGAGAGGAGCCGTGCCTTTTTAACCCCGCTCATTGGTATTCTGCGGTGCGTGCGGCGAGGCGCTCTCTAAATGGCTGAGGCGCGCGGCTCGCCGAACCCCTCGACACGCGCGCACTCAGACGGACCCCGTGGAGAGCCGGAGAACAATATGCAGCCCGGAATACAGAAATCTAAATGGGGCCCAATTAATAATCACATAGTTAGTTCTTATTTTATGTGCCACACTTCTTGAGCTCGAACAAAGTTCGGCCGAGCAGAAATTTGGGATTTTTTTTTTTTTGCTCTCTGCACGGCACATGCTCCGTACTTACTTTAACATTTTGAACTTTCGTCAGTGTTTTTCTGCTGTTTCTGCATGGCTGAGCTGATGATGGGCTCGCCTGGCTGTTCTTTGTCTCTATCTGCTCTGATTCTGTAAAACACAGTTAAAGCACCAAAGGATGTCCATGGAATGACAATAACTTATTTATATTTGCAAACACATGAGTGTACAT